AGCATTTGATTGGTCCCTTGATGCTCGTTTGTGGGGTTTGATTGGCCCTTAATTCGTGTGGTGGGTTTTGATTGGTCGATTGTCTGTCGAGTTGTCCCCAACTTGGAACAGAGTTGACACTATTGTAATTGTGAATTCGCTATAAACTTTCAAAATTATTCGCGTGGTTTGTCAACTCAATATTGATTCACGCCGGAGTTGTGATTGGTTGAATATACTTGTTTCCTTTCTGTAAGAGCCAATCAAATCATCCACTCCAAATTGGATTAGCCAATAGCGTCGATGATTCGTGATTCGACGGGGTCTGGAAATTCGTATCGAATCATCGACAATATATCTATTGTCCTTTTACTTCAAATTTGGTTGACTTTTGTGCTAATTCTTTGCCAACTCTATCGATTGTTTGTCTTGACTTTTGTATGCAAAATCCAACCCGTGTCACACTACTTTGATTCACAACCGAATATTCGATGTTTTTGCCTTGGTCCAAGAGAGTGGATCATTCATTTTTGATTGGCTACTTGATTCGTCTTCTGGGTTTTGATTGGTCGATCATATCGATTGTCTGCCAATTTCGTTCTTATTCGAACCACACACACACACTCGAATACTTTAATATATCGACTTATTAGGGTATTACAAGTACCAGATGGGCCAGCTGACGTGGACAGTTGTGACGCTGTGCCTGATTGTATTTCAGATGCGATTTGTGCTCGACAGCATCTGCAAAGGCCTCGTTTGGCTCTTCTTTCCAGCTTCGCTCGTCGTATGCAATGACTGTTTTGCCTACTTTTGCGGCAAACTTGTCGGCAGACGGGTCTTTACCACGCCATTTCTAAAGCTCAGCCCCAATAAGACATGGGAAGGGTTTCTAGGCGCATTCGTGTGTACGCTAGTGTTTGCGTTCTGGAGCAGTGCGCTCTTGGCCCAGTCTCCGTGGATGATATGTCCTTTGGAGTCTATCGAGGTACAATAACAACCAACAGAAATAGATATATATTTCTACACGTCGAAAAATGAATTAAAAAAAAAAAGAGTGTTTGGAGGATCAGCTCTACTGCTGATTTTATTTTAGTTTGTATGAATGGACTATGAAAAACAGGATGTATACACCATATGTCGACGATCGATTGGATATATATATATAATATATATATCCTTTGTGATATTGTGCATTTCACGCAAAATTGGACTTGTGTGTCATTTCGCATTCGAATCCATTTGATCCAATGTAAGTTTGTACCAAATATGCCATACAAAGATTAGTATACTATATATGTTTTGTCCAATACGGAGGGATTGGACCGAGTCAAACGTTTGGATTGGCCGAAATTCGACAAAACGTGATTTGATTGGCTTGGGCAGTTATTTCATATAATCTCTTGGGGCCCACTCTGGCTGCCCCAAAAAATGTCCGAAAATGCAACTTTTCAGAAATATTATGACAATTTTTACAACTTTTGTGTGTTTGGAAATCTGAAAAAAATATATATATATAAAGTGATATAATACGTCGAATTATTACTTTTTCTGACAGAAAAAAGGTGGAACTGCAACTGTCCACTTTTTACCAACATGATATTCTATCGATAGTTCTCATTCCATTATATGGCATCCAGAGGTCACATCCAAATATTTTGAGAAAATATTTTCTCACCTCCCATTTGAAAAGGGAATTAATTCTCTGTCAGAATATTATTTGACATACATTTAAGACATTGGATTCTGCTGAGGGCTCCAGTTTCGAATCGATTTGACAATATGTACTATAGTACAGCGCACCTAGTACTACCAGTAAAGTTCATGTGAAAAGATCTCTTGATGGTTTTTAGTGATATATATATATTATATAACTATTTGATTGTAGCTGATCCCCCAGCCATTGACGTGCACACCGCATCCAGTCTTTGTCCAGACATGGTATGCGTTGCCCCACTTCGTCACGTCAGTGCTTCCCATCTCCAAAGTGTACTTATACCCCATCCAAGTACGTGTTTTTTTGAACGATAAATATATTTCATCTATTATATATATATATATATATATATATGGTTATGAGTAGCTCCATGCACTGGTATTTGCATGCTTTACATCGGTGATCTCGCCGTTTGGCGGGTTTTACGCTTCGGCCATCAAACGCGCGTACAAGCTCAAGGTACTAACTACTACTTACTACTTACTACCCATCAACTACTACTCGTTAGTTGAAGGTATATATATACATAATATTCTTGGCATAGGATTTTGATTCCGTAATCCCGGGCCACGGGGGATTTATGGACCGAATGGACTGCCAGTTCATCACGTCCCTGTTTACGACTGTGTACTGTACGACCTTTATCTGGTCATACCAGTCGAATGTGCAGTCTATTGTGCAGAGTGTTTTGCAGCTGCCGTTAGACCAGCAGCACCAAGTGCTGGATCAGCTCCAAGCCCTCCTCGTGCTCCCCGTGAATAGATCTGGCGGCCCCGCGACTTAATTCCGCACAAAATCGTAGTTAGTAGTAGAGTCAACGATTAAAACTATGAATATTAGTGGTTACACAACTGCTCGTAGCAGTATGGATGCATGTATGTATGTATATATTGGATCCGCGACTTAATTCCGCACAAAATCGTAGTTAGTACTAGAGTCAACGATTAAAACTATGAATATTAATGGTTACACAACTGCTCGTAGCAGTATGGATGCATGTATATATTGGATGTGTTCGATACCAATGCAAGTACGTTTATCATTGTATTCAATAAGCAACGAACGTTATATGGTTTTCATTGGATATAAATACACTGAGACTCATATTTACATACAGTAACAGGTGCAGCGTCGTCGATACAATATCCACAAGGGGCACCCATGATTCCATGGGGACCGTTTTGCGATGGACGAGGTTTTCGATGGACGAGGTTTTCCAATGAGAAGTATTCTCATTGGCTGGATTAGCCAATTAAATCATAGTATATTTGGATTAACAGGGTGTAAGTCCGAGTAAGATAGCCAATCATGCTAAGGTAACCCAAATCCTGCCATTCTATTGGCTCTACCCATGACCATATATTTGTCATCGGAACGAAGGCCGGAATAATAATAATAGCGTTTCTGAGCATATAAAATTATTACGTTTATACACGGTGTTTTTATTTGTATTTCAATTCGAAAGTACGGATAACAACTCTTGCATTATCCGGAGGGTTAGGTTGGCTGAGTGCAATCCCAATAGGACCATGATACAGTCAACAATCACTGCCACGCTTGGTAACGTAATCCGTTTTCACACTAAATTGAGTGAAAATTTGGTGGCCGTTGGTTGGTCGATTTAGAGGAAAACACAGTGTTGATGTGACATGGCTACGTAGTCGTGATGGTGTACACTGCATGTAGTACACGTACCAATGGAGTGATATGGTGGTCACATCTGGAGCAATCGTAGTCACTGGCAGCAGGGGCTTTGGCGCTTTATTCTTGAGCGTGGGTGGTGGTACAGTACTGTAGTGGTGGGTGGTAATCACTGAGACTACCAGCACCTTCAAATTTCCCAATTCTGTCCCGTTTACTGAACCTCACTGCAACCTCTTCGAAGTAATTATTATTCACACTATATATTTCATGGTGTAGATCACGATAGTATGTATTGTCAAGTCGATTCGAAATTGGAGTGGGGTGCCCAATCGAATGAGCAGCACCAAAATCGGCAGAGAATCGATCAACCAATCAAAACCCAGAGCACTAATCAAGTAACCAATCAACGACCAAAGCAACACCGAACTAGTGTGTGACTGAAATTAGTGTGATACTGGACGATTTTTACTTACAAAAGTCAGAACATAGAATCGATGGATAGATATTTGGCGAATCAGCACAAAAGTCCAAATTTTGGGCAAAAGGACAATACTGTACTATAATAGTACGCAGTATTATATAAAGTAGTTCTATTAATTCGTAGTAGTTTATTGAAAATATCAAATTTGATTAGTAACCTTATATTAAAATACTTCAAGTAGCAAATTTGATTAGTAACGTTGTATTAAAATAAGAAGTATCAAATTTGATTAGTACTGGCATGTGCACAAGAATAGCAATTATTATCGTGCATTGCACTTGTTTTGGCGTCGGTTTTACGTGGCTAAAAGAGTGATACTACTGCTGTAACTGTGTTACAAAGTTGAATAAATACCTGGTGTTTTAGCTAATTCACTGGGGTTTTATAAATGCCAAATAACTCGGAGCAATAATAATCACATGTGATGCTGAAGTGATCAAAACACCTTGGCTGATATTCCATCGCGTAGTACATGCTACCTGCGTGTACTACGTGATGGAACAAGAAGATGGCGTGGTTTTCTACGATATAGCACCATACGTACATCGCTTTACGGTAGAACACCGGCGCAATGTGTCATTTGTAATATCAAAAGTTATTCATGATGACCAGTGAATTGTGCAATTTGGTCCCGAGAACAGCAGATATAACTTCGATTTGCACTTTTCAAATGTGCAAAAGCGAGGGAGATGCATAAATGACCTCCCTATAATTACATTCTGTAAGGAAACGTGATATCCTAAATCACGGCACGAATTATCTAAACACTGGGGTCGATGTAACAAACACCCAGGTTTATAGTGTGAATAGCCAAAACGAGTGAAAAGCCCAATACATGTACGTGAATCATCCCAACGTAAATACTACGTAGTATATTATATTAACTCTCGTAATAATTGAAAAGTAATATATCCAATCAAATCGACGTATTTCATACATACAAAATTACCCAATCCCGACTGGCAAAATTGAATTTCCACCAATCATGGCATGCATTCCCGTAATTCTTCAAAATGTCGTTCGGTGGATTTGGCAGCGCCGCGGTGACGCCGGCCGCGAGTCGCGCTGCGGCCGACTATGACGTCCCTCCCGATGTACCAGACAGCATCCAAGACATCGCATGGAGTCCCACGGCGAACGTCTTGGCCGCGGGATCCTGGGACAACCATGTGCGATGCTGGGAAGTTCAGCAGCAAGGCGCGAACTTCCAAGCCGTGGCTCGCGCGCAGTTTGCACACAAGGGTCCTGTACTTTGCACAGCCTTCAGTGGCGTACGTCCCATCTCCCCTCCTGTTCTCCTCGTCATCCGTTGCACGTAGGACGGCTCGACGGTGTTCTCTGGCTCGTGCGACAAGACTGCCATGATGTGGCAACTGGGCGGGAACAGCCAAGGCCAGCAAATCGCGCAGCACGACCAGCCGATTCGGTCTATCCAGCACATTGCGCAGGCCAACTGCGTGGTCACGGGCAGTTGGGACAAGACCGTCAAGTACTGGGACACGCGATCCCCTCAGCCCCAGGCCACGGTGCAGCTCAGCGACCGCGTGTACGCGCTAGATGTGTCGTACCCTCTCATGGTGGTCGCCACCGCCGACAAGCAGATCCATTGCTTTGATCTGAAGAAACCATCCCAGATCTACGCGGTAATCGTGTCTGATCTATATATCACATTTGATAATTGTGCTTTCAGCCAAACTCTGAGTCTTTGCAAAGTATTTCCATGTACACCCTATATGAAGGCCCACCCTTCTTTAGGCGTTTTGATTGGCCACTTGATTCGTGGTGTCTGGCTGTTGATTGGTCGGTCTTATCCTATATTCATTGAAATACTATCATATTGTTGGTTTTAAATCACGTATCATGGGTTCTAACGTGAATAAGATTTTTATAAATATCTATATATATATATAGACGCTCAAGTCGAGTCTCAAGTACCAGACGCGATGCATTGCAGCCTTCCCAGATGCATCAGGCTTTGCTGCGGGCTCGATTGAAGGCCGCGTATCGATTCAACATGTGGACGAAAAAGCCCGCGAGTATATATATATATATATATATATCCATGAAATAATATTATGTATAAATATTTTTCGTAGCCGCGACTTTTCATTCAAAGCGCACCGAGATAACACGACCAACTCGATCTACCCAGTCACAAGCATCAGCTTTCACCAAAACTCTGGGCGCATCGCCACGACCGGCGCCGACGGATCGTACGCTTTCTGGGATAAGGATGCGCGCAAGTTGCTCACGAATTTCGCCAAACTGTACGTTGCTACTACTAGTACTACTACTAGTAGTAGGTTTACTTGCGATACGAAAAATCACGACGATTTTGTGTATATGATAGCCCGAATTACCAAGGGATTTCCGTGGGCAAGTTCAACAAAACGGGCGAGATCTTTGCGTATGCGACATCGTATGACTGGCACAAGGGCGTCGAGCACTATAACCCCCAAGCCCGGAATGTCATTCGACTGCATCATGTCGACGCCGCCGACATGACGGTCAAAGCCAAAAAGTAGCTCCAACTACTTACTGGATCTCCCTAGGCAGACTACATCAGTTACATTGTAACCATTATGCTGTTGGCAGTACAGTCGTACATTGTCGTCGTGTAAAACCCAGTTGTTTATAAAGAGTTAGTAGCGATACAGTAGTTTTAGCAAATGAAACAATGGATGCGGTTGCGACATATTATTCGTCAAACCGATCACAAATCTCGCGCCGCGAGATGTTTTGATTGACTTTCCCGATATGTATTGAGAGAGGAAGCACGAAGTCAAACGTAGCCAATCACCGAAAAGTAATTTCAGATTGACCAATGGGAGCGATTCATTCGTGATCGGTTTCGTAGGCGGGATTCGATTGGACGGGGTCCGCAAATTCATACCAAACCAAAAATAGTACACTTTCCTACCTTCTGCAGTTATTTAGAGTGCGTCTGGTAACATATCAAAAATAATATTCCATTTTGTGGCAAAATGGAAGTAAAAGGTACATTTTTTGATATGGTGTTTTGGACGTTCTCAAGGAGTAAATCCCACGTGGAAGTATTTATTGGATCTGGATTAAAACTCTTGAAGCAAGACATGTTTCAATTCATATTTGATTCTATTTTGTCTAGGATTGGCCCCATATTGGCGTTTTGGGCCAGAATATTGTTATTTTATTTTGTCTATATTGCCAGAATATTGCAATATTTGAGGTTACCAAAAGTTGAAAAAGAGGTCGTCGATTTCTTTTTCTACATTGGTAAAAAAAGATGTAAATCGATTTTGATTGGCTCATTCTATATATGAAAACTACTTAGAACTGCCCTAAAAATTCGGGTGGCTTTCCAACCAATATTGATCACTCTGGAAGATCTGATTGGTTGAATATACTTGTCCATTCTGCAAGAGCCAATCAGATCTACTCAAAATTGGATACGGCGAGATGGGGTCTGGAAATGAAATATTAATAACTCATTTATTTAAGTTTGCCCTCAACGAATCGCTTTTGCACTGTTCGCTCACACAAATGCAAAGGAATGACGCACGAGCCGTGTAGCTCGTGAGATATGGGCGATGTAAGAACCGGCCGTGGAAATTCTGAATAGAACACACAGTACCGTTATATATTGCTGCTACAATATATAACGTTACTGTGTGTTCTATTCAAAATGCCCACGGCCGGTTCTTACATCGCCCATATCCAAATGTTCGCGAAATGACCCTAATGACGTGAATTCCCTGGACGATCCAATCTTGCAGCATTAACACCTGAGCGCGTAGGGCCCCGTATGCGAATCTCTCCGTATCCCCAGCACATATAGCTCGAAAAGAAACTTTTGAATACAAAAATATATTAAAAAATTATGAGTAGCTTTGTTAGCTACTTCGAAGTACTTTAGTAACTAAGAAAGTATATGACTTTGACATCGAATATCTCTCTAGAAATATGGCGATTGCAACATTGTAGCATAAGTGATGAGTCCTCAAAGCAGAAAAAAACGCAATATAACTTACTTTGTAAGTTATGAATACAGCTCGTAGCGACCTCTATGATACGTCATTATGTAGAACAAATGCCTGTGAACACGCGGATTGAGTCTAGGGCTGATCGGTTTACATTGGCTCATGTTGTGTGGCTTTGAAAGTGGCCGTCTCAAATATAACATCCAAGTTGACCAACTTGTTAACTGTATTTGCTTCCAAATATAACGTCACATAACATCTTTTTGATGTGTTGTTTTTAAAAATTCTATTCACGCCATACCAAGTAATAAAAATAATAAAACGGTTTCTTGTTTTGAAGATAATTAGGTGTTACTCACGTGACTGCATCCACGGGGACAAAACAGGGGAATAATGAGTTCAAGACAGATGATATTGGGACAAACGGGATAAACTGTATCCACGTCGCTTCGTACGCTGCCCTTGATGTCCGGATCCCCAGGTGAGCGACGGATAAATCCTTGTGAAAATAATCCGGGGATCGAACCCACGACTCGGGGTCGAGTGGGTTCTCGAGGGGGTTAAAAAAACAAAACGGCTAAGGTACATTTAAGGTATGACTATCACATTCGGGAGCATCGGGGTTACGTTGGTTACTAGGGGTTTTTTGTTTGGCTCGCACTCGTCTCTATGATTTTTGGATGCGTATGGATGCGCTTTGGATGCAGCGTGGGAAGTACACTTACTGTATTTGGGATTCTAAAAAAATCAAGTGCGCTTCCATGGAACACGGTTGACGCCCAAATCACGAGCGAAGATGCGACGACGAAGGTTTCTATCAACCAGGTGAAGTAAGAACTAAGCCGATCGTGTAACATTGCGATTATAGGCATCAGCTCCATCGAAGTTTGTTCTAATATGACCATTTCCCTCACCCTCCAGGTAGGGGATAGCGTTTTGAACTTGTCTGAGATATGAGACGACGTGAATCCTCTACAGTCCTGCACCTTGTAGCTCAAGTTTCTCTACAGTCTTGCCGAAAACGTGAGTGACATGAAAGTTAGCGCCTGATGAAGCAGCGCGTTTATATACAGTACTTGATTTGCATCTGTAAAATCGAAATGGATGGAACACGCATGGATCACTTGCGTGTAAGAAGAAATATACCCGAGATAACCTGAACTTAAACGAAAAATGATGTACTACTACACCTCGTAGCTACCGGTAAAGGAAAATAGAGTTTGGATGTCCATATTCTGCCCAAATCTTCGAAATTCTACCAATCATACAGTATCATCGCGGCTGCATATTTGTTGGTGGTTTTCGCATATTTTTAACCGGAAAGGACATTAGGGGGTTTCAATGTTAAAAATGGAGAATGGAAGGTGGAGAATGGAGTGTGTGTAACACTAAAAAATGAGCCAATCATAGTAAGTCCATCAACCTTCATAAAAAAGTTGAGACCCCCCGTACTGTGGTGGAGACGGGAATCGACTGCCAAAAACCGACACCCATGGTACGCTTCTCTGAACGACAGCTCATTCTCAGTGAACTACATGAGGTCATGATCATTTTGTCGCTATCCAACCTGCATGGACATTGTATTTCAGCAACTTCTGGTGGCTTACCTTGCCCTCTCGCCGGCCATGGTGGTCCCCACATCACTCTCCTTGGCGACACTGCTGGTGGCAATCATGGCGGCCTTCTTGTGAGTGGGTTTGGCAGCGGTCCTTGTGGCGGACCATTTGGTGGCGATCCTAGTGGTGCTGGTTATTGTGGCAGTGACGGTGGTCCTTGTGTCTGTGATGGCTGTCCTTGTGACGGTTGTTCTGGCGATCCTTGTGGTGTTCCTCCCAGTGGTGGCCCTCCTCGTGACGCTCATTCTCTCGGTGGTCCGTTTGGTCTGTGTCCATATGGCGGTGCCGATGGTGCCCCCAAAATTTATGAAGTCCCCAATGGATTCATGAATGGTTCAACCGCCGAAACCTCCGGTAGCGCAATCGACGAAGTGCCGTACTGTGGTTGTCTGTGCACGTCGTTTGTAAGTGCTAATCAACTGGTTTGCCAATTGTTCCATGCATTGGTCAACTCCCGCTACCTGTCCAATCGACTGTACAATGTTCCAAAGCGCAAGTCGCCAGTCGATTTTATTTGTGGGTTGGACGACAAGCGGTTCAAACAAGAAGTTCGCCTGCCGCGGCACATGTTCTACTTCTTGGTGGAGCAGATACGACATGATGGTGTGTTTCAATCGAAGAGCAACAATTTCCAAGCTGCGGTGGAGGATCAATTAATTGTCTTCCTATCCAAACTCGGCCGTTATGGAAATGGTGGTTGTGTCGGGGTCCTTGCTCGCTACTTTGGTGTGTCCGAGGGCTGTGTTCAGTCGTACTTTATCCGATGCATGGTGGCGATATTGTCTCTTGAGAAGTGTGTTGTGTACTGGCCAAATGACGATGACCGCCGACAAATCAGTAGACGCGTACACCTTAACTCCCGCTTTCAAAACTCCGCTGGATTTGTCGACGAAACATTGTTCCCCGTTTATGCCAAGCCGTCCAAGGATGGTGAGGATTACTACTCCAGAAAGGGTTACTATGGAATGGCCGGCATGATTGTCTGCGATGACCAACGGCGGATCACGTACCTTGACCTTGGCTGGCCTGGATGTGCAAACGACAAGCGTGTGTGGAACAATTGCAACCTCGCGCTGAACTCGACCAAGTACTTCAACCCAAATGAGTACTTGATGTCCGATAATGGCTACACTAATCAGCAGCATATCATGGCAGCGTACACTCGCACCCGTGGCTCTGGGCTCACCGAGCAGCAAATGCTGTTCAACAAGCTGGTTGCGAAGTGTCGTTACGTCAATGAGCATTGCATTGGCCTACTCAAAGGCCGTTTTCAGTCGTTGCGCGGCATGCGAGTTGACCTCTCTACTTCTCGGGGGGCAAAAATAATGATGCTCACGATTCGTTGCGCGGCCATTTTGCACAACTTATTGTTGCAAGACCTTGATGACAATTGGGACACTGAGTTGCACGACTATGATGCTACTGCTGACGGGGATGATGTGTACCAAAACAGCAATGCCCTTGCAAACACCGTCAGTCCTGCCAGTCTGCGTGACATGTACGCTCGCCACTTTTGGAGCGAATCGGTTGGTGATATGTAGATATGAGTGTAAATCAAGGGTTTATTGTTTTTATTGAATTTTGGACAATTCATCACGAATATACTCCATCACATCCGCTTTATCAAACGACATGGACGACATGAGACGTGCCTCTTCAATAATTTGCTTGTGCCTGAGCTCTTTGGCCTTGAGGTCAATTTCACGCATGCGCAGCATAAAATGTCGATCTTCATTTTCCTTTCGGAGCTGCAACTCCGCCGCCCGGCTCGCCAGCACCTCCCGCGACAAATCTGCCTGAACTTGAGCCTGGGCCTTAAGCCCCTGCATTAGGCTCTCGCCGACGCCAAAACTTCTCTTGCCACCGGATTCGGTCTTCAGCTTCTTCTTCCCCGAGCCAAATCCAAACTTGTCCGGTTCGCTCTTTCTTTTTCCGGTGGCTTTGGGGGGCGAGCCTGGAACGTATTCCGCCGTTTCGTTTGCAGTTACGATGTTTTCATCACCATTTTCTAACACCCCACATCTAGTATTAACTGTTAGTAGAGTTCGAAGTAATATTTACCAGATAATGTTGATGTGTTGAGCATGTCGACTGAATAGTCGTCATCGTCGTCGTTACTTGAACGGAGGAGAGGCCGGGCCGATGCTCTATCGCCGATGACCTTTTCGAGCACATCCCAGTGCTTGCACAACTTGAAGCACTTATCCTTTCGATGATCATATTAGCCTAATTAAGGATATGCCAATATACATATCATACCCGAATTGTATCAACTTCTACCAAGTAGCCTGGAGCAGTTGGGTCGTGATAGCGTTCATCTGCAGCGGACAACAAGCCTTCGCCGGTGTAGCCCATGAAATCTTTCGCTCTGCCGTAGGAATCGATCAACTCTTGTATATTGGCTTTGATACTGTCGATGTTGCGCACAATGCTGTGCTCGCGGTGTAGAATCTGCGAGATTTCGGAAGCAATGCTAACCTTATTCATGCCGTCTTTCGAGCGGGTGCCTCCGCGCCAACGAACAAAGTTGATGTACACATCGCCGTTGTAAACCGACAACCAATCCAGAAGGATTTGGATGGAGGACTTGCCGCACTGACATGACGGGTTTTTGCAGACATCTTTGTGCCAGAAGGCAACACCATTCGACATGTTGGCCGCGATTTGGAAATGCGGCACACCTTTAAAACCTCGTACAATGTATACAATATTTCGATTAAAGAGGTGCAACCCTCCATCACCAGATATCGCCTATGGAGGATGGTGGTGGAGGATGGAAATCATTTTGACCAATAAAATAACTCAAAATCGTGTGTAACGATAAAAAACTCCATTGACCATTCTCCATTTTTAACATTGAAACCCCCTATTACTCCGAAGTACTTCGAAATCCGACGAGGAATCAGTTTTCGGGGTTTCGGGGTACAGGAGCTTTGGGGTTCTGGAGTTGGCTTCACTCGAGTATGGACGGCACAGTCTTGGATTGAGATCTAATTCTTTTATAAGAAGTACTACCCGGTAAATGGCTTCTAATATCTGTGCTTCTTACAGTGTTTGCTGGGCGGTGCAGTGGAATGTGTAAATGAACGAAACCGAACGTTTTGCATTTATCGTCCAATACTAGTACCAGTATGGCTTGGTGAAGTTTGAAACCTTATGCCGCATTTCTAGAAGTGCATACCGGTACTGTAGTGTTCTCGAGCTGGGAATATATGTATAGTTAACGTTACCGGTACACATCGATAAAAGTAGTGTAAACCCCGAAACATACTTTCTCCGTACTAACTTACAGTAAGCTTACTTGTACCGATAATCTACGTACCATACTAACGTTATAGCTTACTACCGGCAATTGTTGGCCCCGGTCACTGCGAATCAAAGCACTGGCAGTGGAGAAACATTGTCCGAAACGACCACAGGAACGACTGTCACCTGCTAGACACGTACTGCAGTAGAACCTTCTCTTGCACATCCCTTCGCTTTCCACCTTATTTGGCCATCCATTATTGAATGGTTTCACCCGTCGCCCAGACTCTTGTGATGCCATTTATTGTTCCTTTTAGGGCCGTTCGCCCGTTGTGTTACGATCAATGGGGCAGATATCGGTAGGATGAGGCCCGCAAAGTTCTCGGAACATATTGGCTTCATAGTTGCCCACACGGTTGATATACACTTCATCCCAGCAACTCGCAGCAGGCGCTCGGCATCACTAAGCTGCGGTCGCTTGCATCGTGACCAAGGCACAAAGTACTGTACTGTACGAGCCACAAGCTACCCCACCCTTCAGGGTACTGTCCGGTAGCTACTGTGGGTGTAGAGTAATCTTATCACAGCCTTTACCCAAGTTAACTAAACCACTTCATACTTTAATCCAGTTGGAACTACTCGCACGTTTGTCCTATTCATACCGACGGCCAGCACATTTCGTTACATTCCGGAATCTATCTCATGTTGAAATCGAATACGTTTTAGATACTTCGAAGTACACGACCAAAGGGTGGATATGATGCATGTGGTCGTGGCCGTGTCGCATGTGATTGTTACTGTATCTCGTCCCACTTGTCGGATATCACTTGGATACAAACGGCAAGATATTTCCACGCCCACGTAAATATGCACATTTACCACGGTGGGACAGGCTACAGTTGCACACTCACACACATGGTGGCGGTTCAGTGAATTGATGGGGCGAGATTAGTACTATACTAGGGGTACACATTATTGGACGACGGACTTGTGAAAATGACGAAGAACGTAAGCATCATCACCATCACCCCAACCAACAACACATCGGCCAACAATCAGGAGCTGGTCATGTACCGCGACTCGGACTTGCCGTTCCCAGACCCCAAGGACGACGACGAGTACGAAGAGAGCTTCCAGCGCCGCCGCCGCATCCGCGTCTTGGCCATTATGGCCGCCGCGCTTTTGGTCGTGGGAGCCGCCATCGCCATCACGTTTGCGGCTATTCCCACCTCGGACGCAAGCCAATCGTCTGGTCTCGCCAGCACCACTGTCGCGCCGCCTATCACTGTTACCACCACCACCGCTCCTGTCGTGCCAGCTGAACTGCTTGTGGGAGGCACCTTGCCCGACGAAGTCGTGACGGTGGAAACACCCACCTCAACCCCTGACGCCACACCACAAGTGACCACGGCTACCCCCGAACCCACTACAGTGACCCCCGAACCCACTACAGTGACCCCCGAACCCACTACAGTGACCCCCGAACCCACTACAGTGACCTCTGAACCAACGACGGTGACCCCTCAACCCACCACCACCACGGCTGCACCCACCGACGCCCCCATCATTGGCAAACCCGAATCGGCGCCAGCCCCTCCAGCTCTGGGTCATGCACCTCCCGCTCCCGCCCCTGCACCCCCCGCCCCTGCACCTGCACCTCCCGCCCCTGCACCTGCACCTCCTGCCCCTGCACCTGCACCTCCTGCCCCTGCACCTGCACCTCCTGCCCCTGCACCTGCACCTCCAGCTCCAGCTCCTGCACCTCCAGCTCCAGCTCCTGCACCTCCAGCTCAAGCCCCTGCACCTCCAGCTCCAACTCCTGCACCTCCCGCCCCTGCGCCTGGGCCAAGCCCCATTGGCCCAAGCACGTATCGAGTGGTGAACGGATGCAACAAGAACCAAGATATGTACTGGCGCTCCACCGACCTCGTCGACCACAGTCGCAACCTGGGGCCGTACGAGTCGTTGGACTTGAATGCGTTGGATTACGGTCCCGGCAAGAACATTATGATTCGCGCCACGGCCAACAACGACGCCACATGTACGTCCACTGAGTGGGTACCTGGTAACCTAACTTTTAGTATGTATTTGGTAGTGTTTGAAGGGTACTTTGACCCTTCGTTCAACGTTGTGCCTGGAGCCGGTGGCACCATCTGGTACGACATCAGCGTCATCCCCAACGACTGCGGAACGTCCTGGAGCCACTGCAGCGGCAGCGGCGTCGGCTACAACGCTCCATTAACCGTGGAAGTCGTGGGCAAGCTGCAGGCCAAGTGTGAGAACTTGGTGTGCAACCAGCCGCGATGCCCCGCGGGGTACCACGTACCGGACGACAACTTGAAAGTCAAGTCGTGCGAGAAGAAGACGTCGTTCATTTTAACTTTTGGCTGTGCCACGCGATAAATAGAAACGTCCGATATCGATGAATATGGGTTCGTGAGTTGTACTGGAGTACAGTACGTCGTTTGATGGGAGTTGTAGTAGAATAATACAACGTTCGAAGCTGGCTTTCGACGTGTGAGTTTGGGGACTAACGTTTTTAATACAGTAACGTAAAAAAACAATTTAAGATAACTTTTTTGGAGGTGTCGGAGTAGAATGGACATACCTCATGAGTCCGTTACGATATTTGAGTTTTGAATAGCGATTCCAATAAGACAAGACGCGTCGCTAATCAAATTATCAGTTTAAACTTGTTACTTTCTAAGCATTTGTACTCATATTTCGATAACCAATTTAGGACAACGTTTTTTTATCTTAAAGTATTTATGTGTCGGAGCATTGAAATTCTGTGTTTAGGGTAAGCGAATACAACAGGTTTCATATAATTTATGCAAGGGTATTGTTTTATAGAGTTATATTCTGTTGTTCACGGTGTTTAACACTCGATAAAACCTCAGATCCAACCCAATATGGGCCGTGTCGACTAGGGTACTTCAAACCCAATCTTGAATGACTGTTACCGACGGCATCTACGCCGTTTTTGCATTTCATTCACGTGACGGAATGGTCAGCATTATATAACAGAGGTTTTGACTCGAACAAATAACGAGGTGTGATTGGGCAGTACAAAGTTATCCTAAATTGGTTAAGTTATCTTACGACGTTTGCGGATGTGCGGTCGCGTCTGGACGCCGCGTTTGTCAGCCTACCCTCGGATGTCGTTTGGAATTGCGTTCGGCACTGTGACAAGATTCTACAAGAGACGTATGAGTTGTTACTTGCCAAAGATGACGAGGTAGAAGATGGTATGTCGTCGGACGATGCTGTGAAGATAGTCGTGACATTCATTATGCCTTTAGAAATCAATACATGTAGATTCAATACAATACCACGTAGTATAAATTAGTCGCAAAACCTTTCTACAGTAATATGTAGTTAACTGTAAACCCAAAAACAAAATACGTTAAATACCGATTTCATGAGTTTTATCACTCCAGTGTGAGGTTAAAAATAATGAAAAATTAGTTTTCCAACTGCCTCCGGATACTATATACGGACAAGAGTCACATACAAAAATCAAGATACATCTCAGCGGCCACCCCTATGGCCAAATATCCAAAGATATTTGGCGCCCATGTAAAATACCGCTAGGTTTAATAGCTATTTCTGGACCAGTTCATCACCAATTTTGAATCTGAGACGTAGAATTTCTTCACCACATTGAGATCTGTACTAGTACTAGTATGAAATATAAGTCAGAGAATTTTATGAAAAGTTGGTAGTTTATAGGTGACGTGCACCATACCGGTACTACATGTAGTGCCCGCGAGATCTTCGGTTAACTGTAAATTCCTTTCTATTTTCGCTCGAAATATATGGATTGCACCCCGAAATATTTTGAGCCACTCGCTAAATTGACTGTGAGCACAGTGACACACACATAAGGAACGAATCTCGCCGCCGAATCGAATCACGAATCGACGCTATTGGCTAATTCAACTTCGAGTTGATTTGATTGGCTCTTACAGAAAGGACAAGTATATTCAACCAATCAGAACTCCAGCGTAATTCAATATCGGTTAGACAAACCACACGAGTTTTGGAAGTTTATAGCGAATTCACAATACTTGGAACCACTTTTCTATTTGCTAAAAATACGTACTTCGAAGTACTTGGAACAGCAGGCCCTAAGCAACTCACTAACGTTATACCAAAAGTAGAAAAAGAGGTCCCTTTCGTCTTTTTCTAAGAGCATCTCGACCGCATTCCAGTAAATCGACACACCAATATCCGCATAGTGTTCGGATAACAACCTCCAGTATTGTTATGGACTGATAATTCAGGGTAATTCGCACCGCAAAACGTCCAACACCAGCCAGTAAGTTCACCATCATTCGACCAGCCTGAGAGGAAACCCGCGTGAATTTCGACGATGACGTATGCTTATCACCAGGAATGGCACGCAATGATGTGCAACAGGCATGGATATGTACAGCACTGTACAAAGTTATCCTTATCACCAGGAATGGCATCAACTGTAGTTTCTCGTGAACTAGTAAACGGAGTACGGTGATATACAGATATAACGTTAATAGGCATCTGCCAGCTCGATAGGACCCGCGCTATTGACCTTGGTAATGCAGCAGTCAATGGCGCGGGTCCTGTCGAGTTTTAATCGATGACATGGGTCCTGCAACATTAACAACACGACTACCGGCCGCGAAGACATACCCACCGACTATCGCATGACTCTCACAACCGCGGCAAGCCATGCAACTTTGATCGGCGCAAGATAGACACCGCCAATACGGCTGAATCGGCCACGGACCGGTGCAAACATGCAACCGCCCGCCTGCGATCAATGCTGCCGTGGCAAGTTTAAGCCGGAACTGACCTACGCCGCAAGAGCCATCACCACAAGTCATAAGCTATTGACTGCGGCATACATACCGTGCCAGGGCCGCCACAACTGCACCTCGACCTCTGCCCTGGAGGCTTCGCTGCTCCATGTTTATGCACCGATGTCTCTATCCGCCGGATACTAACTCCAGCAAATCCAGCCCAATTCCACTAAGTTGGTGGAACTTTTACTGATTTCCTGATCAGCAAAGTACTCAACCGGATATAGATGCGGTGCTAAGATTTTTTAGTAAATTGGCACGCAGATTTACTGATTGGCCAAATTTACTGAACGGTGGAGATGCTCTAAATCGTGAAAAATAATGTGGAAAATCGATTTTGATTGGCTCACGCTATTTCTGAACACTAATTCTACTAATGTTACGTAGTACTAGGGGCTTGTAATGTTTGCTCTACAGTATGTATTGTACTTTGCACTTTTTTTTGGCAATTCCAGGGTTAAATTCATTGTTTAAAAATTTCTCAGGCTTAAATAGCGTCTAAAGTAACTTGAATAACGGTTGGGTGCGTTGTTCAAAAATACTTCAATAATAATGCGATGATTGGTTGATCAAAGGTGGTTTTGCAGGCACTTTCGTAAAATAAGTTGTATGCCGTTTTCATCCTGGCAAACAACTTGTTTTACGTCAAGGTGCTTGCCGCAATGGAACTGAAGCAGCTATGGCCACATTCATGACCTCCCATCCGTGATCACTAGTACAAACATTAACTACTCCGAGTAATTTATAACGTTAGGGATATAGTTAGGCTAGTCATCGCTCTGTTCAATGATTCAAAGCTATGCCATACCTACAACACTTGATCTCTACTACTGTAACGTTAGTACTTTACTGTACGTGGAAAGCAAGTGCCCTCCAACTACACGATGTATAGTACTCTCATTTCACATCCTAATACGGTATGCATCGTGATGAAGTGGTGGTTGCGCTTCTGTAAGTTGGCCTGGTGCTGCAACTCGATTAGTTAGCAGCTGAAATAAAGTAAGGGTTGTTTTATTCTGCTGAAATGCAGAACTTGTCGATCGGGCTTATATTATTTTAAACGCCTGGTTGTTTACAGTTCTCGACACCATTGAACTGTTATGTTTCCATATCTACGTCAAATCTGATTGGATTTGAATGAAACCACCTGTAATCTGTAGGGAATTTCGAGGGGAATTGTACTGTGACATTTGATCCCCACCAAAGTAGATAACTCTTTAAAAAAACTGGACGAAGAAGCAGAATGACTGTCAATTTTCACCCGGCAACTCAATATCCCGTGTAACTTTATCGAAAATTGAATATTCGTTTATAGAGGTTCTATATATGGCAACATTGGGGTACTCTCCATTTCTATTTCCTCTCAAGTACAAATATAGACTACGTGTCAAGGACTATGCTTCATTGCCTTCAGTGTTACTCCATGGATCCATCTATCGACGCGTGCTTTGCTTTTGTCAAGAGTGCGAAGCATCGCACTGTGACACGTGAAGAGCGACTCGACATCCGCAGCCAATATACTAAAGCTACATCGAAACAAGTTGTGGACGCTCTTGGTCGCAACCTCAACCTCGTGCAGAATGTTTGGCGGGAGTACCAGGCCTCACAGACTGTTACTGCTGCTACTCCTTCTGGTAACCGCACGACACACATAACCAAAGTGCCACGCATGAAGCTGGTAACCCAGATGGTCCAGCAATTTGTACGGGACCGTCGCGCAACCAGAACGCGCACAACGGCTGTCGAGGTCATGATGTACCTCAAGGAGTTGTGTCTCCTCGACATCGACGTGGATCACAAGAAGCAGTTCGCAGCATCCTATCGTGCCGTGCAACGGTTCCTCAAGGCTCAAGGGTACAAGCGAGGTCGCCGGAAGGGCTCCTCGACATACCACCTGTCCAAGGCCAACGCCCTTGCGCGTGACACGTACGTGAAACGCATGCATCCTCACTCGACGGCTGCAACACGACCCAATGTCGTGCATACGGACGAATCGTACCTACACCATCACTACAAGTCCCACCATCAAGACCTGTACGACCCGTCCGACGATCACGACGTCCAGAGCAAGGAGAAACATAAGGGTCGGCGATATTGTTTCGTTGCAGCGATACTCGACTCCCCATTGATGGCCAGCAAGGTCATGGCTATCGACATTTTCACCGGAGGGAAGTCCCGAGCAAAGGAGCCGTAAGATTACCATGGCATGTTCGATCACGCATACTACGTCAAGTGGTTCGGTCACCTTTGGACGAAATGGATGCTAGCGGGGTTACCAAAGCCCTCATCGTACTCGACAACGCCAAGTACCACAAAGGCCTGCCCGAGTCAACACCAACGAGTGGACGTCGCAAGTCCATCCTGCTGGATGCATGTCGTTTGTCGGTATTCAAACCACTGGCAAGGAGTTCAAGAGTGAGCTGTAGAATATGCTGGCATCTCACATTAAAGCACACCCCGTCATCGTGGAAATGGGCAAGCGTCGTGGGCATTGTGTTGTCTACACTCCTCCCCATCATTCGGATCTGCAGCCGATTGAATCTGTGTGGGCGATTGTGAAGGCTGAGGTTGGTCGACAATACACGGATATGACCAAGTTCGCGGATGTGAAAGTTCGCCTCAAAGCTGCATTTGCCAACCGGAAACCCAACCCCATCAAAGGGTGTGTACGTGCTGCACAAGAGAAGTTGAAGAAGTTGCACGAGCATCTTGTGCAAATCGATACACTCGTATCCGATGAAGAGTCATCAGATGACAGCGACAATTCAAGTGACGATGGTGGCGACTCTGAGTAGGATCATAAACTTTGGTAATGCATATATTTATTTTGTCAGTGAATATTTTAGCCAAAGAACTCCAAGTATGTATACCTGGACAAGTTTATGAAGAAAAAAATAGTGATTCGTTGGTGTCGACTACTCCGGAGTACTTGTTAACGCAGTTAAACAACGGGCAAATTACTGTACATGAAAAGCACAATACTTTCTGTACTCATAATTTCCTCTGGCGGTTGATTGATTGCCTGTGAATGAACCGCTAAGCAAGCGCAGGACCTTCGAAATATCATAGAAAACTAAGTTTAAGAGGAACCCATTTCAAAGTTCATTCATTCTTCTAGCCAAACATAATGCAGCCTTCATACGTTTTATGAAGGGAGTTGATAACGCAGAGGAAATTGTAAACTGATTGATTGGCGTTATCTACATCTACATGCATGACTACTGTGACTATACTATATCTAATGCTATATATACGTGCGCTCTGCAGAAGGAACTTCTGGTGTCCATGGCCGAGCACGCCGCACGCCAATCGAGCTTGGTCGTAAACTGACGTCAACAGTGACGTCTGTTCTGATTGGTCGATAACCCTATGACGCCACTGGAGTGACGTCGTTACATTCTCCCCTGGTTATCGACTTCGCCGCTTGTATCTTCGCTCGCAGATCTTGAACAGGCGCTTGAAATGGGAAACATGTTTGATGTCCCGCTCAAGTTCCCAGGTCGCTTCGTAATCGGGCAAGCCATGCCACTTGACGAGGTACTC